AAATCCACCAAATTGTGATTATGCCACGCGATGCTCATTTAGCTAATGATCATCATTTCGTAATTTTCTAAATAATCGAGTTCATTTATGTAATGGATTTCATAAATTCGTTTGCTATTGTTGAACGATTATTTTTAGCCTGTATGAACAGCTTATACAAAATCACTGAAGGAATTAGTAGTTCATAGTTTATTGAAAGAATTAAGATGTCACTATCTGCTACTTTTTAAGATTTGGGATATTATGTAAGGGTTGAGTATGATGCAACAGTGCCATTCAAGATCAATTAATATCATTTAGTTTCTGAATCACAGTTATTTTGCGTTTAATGGTTTATTACTCAAAGTTTCTCTTTCGATCTGCGGTAATAATAATAATAATGTTTTATTCCTTTGAAATGATCATTAAACAATGATATAGCAAACGTCGAGTAAAAAAAAACATGTAGATGTGTAACATAGAGATTACAGTTCATTGATTACAATTATTTGGAAGTATACTCAAAATACTCATTGATAGAATAAAAACATCCCTCTAAAAGGTATTCTTCAACTTTCCATTTGAAAGTAGACATTAATGGGTAGACAATTGAATAGGTTGGAGCCTGCTAGAGAGGGTGATTTTTTAAACAATATAGTACGATGTTGCTGCAGTTTAATTAGATTTCCATTTCTTGTTGGGTAACTGTGACATTTTGAATTATTACAATTATAACACTTTGTATATAGATGGTAGTGTTAATTTNACCTATCGTGAGTTACAGAAAAATTGATAACCTAAAAACCTTCTCTATGAAAAATTACTTATACATGTCAAGTTTCATCGCGATCGGTTGAGCGATGTAGAAATTTATCACTTACCAACCAACAAACATCCATTTTTATATATTAGATTTGTTCAGTCTCTCCAAATTTTGAGCTTTCATACATTAGTTATGTGATGTTGATGGATAAAACGGTTTTGCGAGACTCCCTGTACCAGGTATCCCAATACCGAAAATAACTCTACCAGTAACTTTCCATCAACAGAATGTAAAAATTTGAAAAATTAGCCTTCAGAAAACTCTTGCACTTGCACATTTTTAACTCTAGCTCTCTGACTAATACGATAGTCTCCAATCTCGTCCACAATGACAGGTAATCCTCTTGACATACATAACATTCCTGAATTCGATATACGCGATATTGCCCTCCTGAAGTGATTGATAATGAGACTGGGCTTAATTGATTTAAATATACAGGGGTTAAACTTGGAAAGAATTTAATTTTTGAGTGAAATGTGTTTGTGTTTTTTCTTCATCGAGCTTCGTTAGGGTTTTGTATACATTGTTGCCACAGAGAATTTTATATTGCGTCTTAATATTCAAAATACACACATCGTCAAAATTCTTGGACCCCTTTTTTGTCTAAATGACACTATTATCATAAGTCAAGAAGTGCATTACAAATTACATTCAGTTTGGTTGTGTAACCAATGCAAAGTGGCTGAATTTTACTTCAACTGAACAGTAAAAAAAATACAAACAAAAAATAGTGCATAATAAATTGATTACCAGAATCTGAAATCTAGAAGTAAACCACTTTAGAGCGGAATATTAATCCATTAATCCATCCCCTGTTCTGTTCTGAGGTGTTAACTCGCCTGTGCATGAAAACAATAATGGCGTTAATGGTATCCATTGGGATGTTTTTTCATTCTTCTTGGGCGGCGAGAGCGAGTTCCTGAAGGGTGATAGAAGGATTAATTCTATTTGAGATTGCTCGTTTAACGAAATCCCATATGTGTTCAATGGGCTTCATGTCTGGCGAATTAGCTGGCCAAGGTAATTTTTGAACATTCCCAATCTCTAGTGCATTTTTAACTTTTCTCATGCAATGGGGCCTAGCATTGTCATCCATTAACGAGAAATTGGCTCCAATTTCATTTCGAAGGGAATAAATAATTGGGTTCAATAATGTTTCCACTGTCATAGTGTCCGTAATAGAAATAGGCTGCATTGTGTATTATGCCTCTTCAAAACATTACTCATTCTCCTTGGTGTGGAACGACTTCTCTGACAAAAGATAGTCTTTCTTGTCGCCATGGTCATCTCCAAACTCTGTGTCGCCGACTATCAACAACCAAAAAAAATCAGGTTTCGTCCACAAAAAAGATATTTGGCCACTGAGTTAAAAGACAGTATCTGTGTTCCTGTGCCCATTGTAGGAGAACGGTTGTGTCTAAGAAGTAACCTGGGCACTCTTATTGGCCTTCTGGATCGCAAATTGGTTCAAGCAAGTCTTCCCACTGGAAATTAATCGACCAAACGTTATTCTTGAATGAGATCGGAAAACTAAGCCTGTTATGATTTGATTCCGACGTACATATTTTGTAAGATACCGACCTTCTCTTTCTTTGGTTACCGAGGACGCCGTTATTTTTCTGGTACAAATGCAATATTCGAATAACTGAAGCGCGAGGAATCCTTGGTCTATTCGCGATTTGATGATTCGGCAGACCATTGCCAGGCACTTTTTAAAGAAATAAAGAGATAAATTCACTTCCTAATAATGCTCAAAATATGTGGATCATGCTAAAAAAATTATCACATATACAAACTGGAAGAAAAAACCCTTTCTAACCAACCACTTCCGCATTATCATTGAATAACGCGAAGAAAAAAGTGCTTTTGGAACAACTACTTTTATGTGAAAGTTATTCATGTTATAACAAAATACACACATCGGAAAAGTCTAGGGACATTTTTATAACATACTAAATATCATAAAAATAAATGCATGAGGTCGTTTAATTTCGATTAAATTGGTACACTCGACCACCCTGTAGAATTCTATGGGTTGAACAAAGCCTGCAAAAACGGTAACTAATCTTTTATCAAGTTTTTTACAAACTGTAGGTTTTCGGCTAAAATGAATAATCTGAAAGTNAAAAAAAATTATTGCCATTTTTAAAAATATCCCTAGACTTTTCCGATGTGTGTAGTTGCTCTTATTTCACAACTTGAATCCTTTCCTCATATCATTATTTTCACGTATGCCTTTTTTATTTTCGTAATCATCGAATTTCCACTTGACATACATACTAGTTGTAAATAAATGTTTATCGCAAAATTAATTCAACGATTGAATTTTTTTATTGAAAGAAACAATTGAAATTATCTCCATTCGCCATTACAGTTATGTAGTTCAATTGTCTATTAGCCACATCACGGCGAATATGTGTCAAATTATTTAGCGATAATAAATGCATCGGTGCTGAATCATGTTTGTGAATATATGCTGAAAATGGTGAAATGTCCTGTACGTGTTTATTACTCGTATTATGAGTTCCTATCTCAACTATTTACGATTGTTTGAATATGATTTTTGAACATAAACCTAATTTCAAGTGAAACTAGTTATGGTAAATCTTTCAGAAATCGCTGTCAGTGTCCCCTAAACTTATAAATCAACAGGTTATTTCTTGATAACATATAGATATTTGAGAACTTCAGGAATGTTATTTTCTGGACAATTTTGGGAAAAAAACTCCTTGCGAACATGATTTGTGCAGGTCTCAACTTTGATACTACCGTGGTATAGTTCAAGTAAACGATATAGTGCCAACTAATTTCGTTATTCAATAATAATCTCCATATAGTCTTTTTCAACTAAAATTACTTTTCAATCTTTTTCTGCCAGTCTTCCTAGGTAATATTAGATACATGTTTTTCAATTAGCTCCATTACCATCTTATCAAATTTTGGAAAATTATTTTTACGCCTGATGCTTTGTTTCAATTTTCCCCAAATCAACTCGATGGGATTGAAAATATAAAAATAGGGGGGAAGTCTCAGTATGGTGTGTCCATACTTTTCAGCAATACTCTCAAGGGCATACAGTTTTTCAAATGTAAAACTTCAAGTAGTTGGTTTTTGGTATAGTTATCTTCAAAATACAAATTGTTATCCATTAAAAAACTTTGTATTTCATCTTTCCTAGAATTTTTATTCGGTACTTTGATGAGCTGTCGCGAATGATAGAAAGCGTTGTCAAGAACTATTACACTATTCTCATTCAAATTTGGAATCAATGTGTTTTCAAACCATTCCTCGAAAATATCAGCTTTCATGTTCTTATGACAGTCAACATTGCAGTCCTTATGTTTTTTCCACATAATTTCAAAGAATTCGGAACCCATCCTTTACTTCCTCCGCAATGCACAATTATTAGTCGCGATCCTTTATTTGCAGGCATGTTAGGCGTACACATTCTCGAACCATCAGTCCACCCTCTCGTAACTGTGTCGTGAGTGTTATACCAAGTTTCGTCCAAATAGAAAATGTGCCGTTGTTCTTGTCTATATTAAGTTATTTGTTACGCGATTACACTATTCTTCTGCTTTCCATAACTGCTTGACGTTTGTTTATTATTTTAAAACTAAATCCTAGTTTCCTTATCCAATTCTAAAGCAGCTCACGTTATGGCCGAATGTTCTAGAGTGTTCTAAAAATTTCTAAAGAGCGAAACTTTCAATCTTCAAATATTCAAAAGCAACCCTCGTCGGTTGAAAACGGAAACATTCTTCTTGGATGGTTGAATCGTTCCTCAATGATATGCGATGTTCCAGGAGGTTCCGGAACGTTCCAGACTATTCCTGAACATTCCAAAAGGTTCAGGGATGTCCTGGAATGTTATGGAATACTTTAGAATACTTTCTAATGCTCTGGAACATTCTAGAGGGCAAAACTTCCAGCTCCTATATCTTCAAAAACAAGCCCTTCAGGTAAAAATGGGCACCTTCTTCATAGATAGCTTGATGTGATATTTTGTTAGTGAGACTACTCTTCTGAAAGTAAAGCTCAATTTATCATTATTGTCATCATCAATACTATATAGTAATAATCGTTTCGATAATTTCTACAATTCATAATCTCCGTACACAAGTTTTATCCTGAAAATTCTCCCAATCCTATATCTACGCATTACTTGAAATGTATCATCTGTTTACTTTTGTTTCAGATAACGCCTTTTTATTTACCCATCAGTAACGAAGAACAATCCAGCAAATCATTTCGGTTTCGATTCAGTCCTTCGAAAGAGCTTCAACATTTGAAAAACAGTGAAAACGTCTTCTCGACGTTAGAGGATGAAGAGATTTTATTTTTTTTGCCTTGGTGTGATAATTTGCAGTATACGTAACACAAAAGCACATTATTCTCACCAGTGGGCAGTACACATTGAGGGCGGACCCAAGGTAGCTGATGAAGTAGCTGAGGATCACGGATTCATTAACCATGGTCTGGTGAGTTCAATTTATGTGTTGTTTATTTTGAAAGATTGGATGAGGTTACTGTCAGGTCGTTGTGAACAGGGGGGCGGCCTTTTTGGGGTGTCGAGTGGGGCAGTCGTCTCAGTTTCCCCGCTTGAAGGGGTTTCCGAGACAGAAAGATTCTCTTGTCAAGTCAAGTCAAAAATGTTTATTGGTTTTTAAGAATATTTACAAAATATGTGAATGTGTATTGTGTTGTGTGGGGCCCTGCTACAGGCTTATGCCTCTTCAGGGTTAGTGGGTTGTATGTGTGGTGTCTTGTGTGATGATGTCTAGTGTAGTGTTGTTTCAGTGTCTTGTGTTCCTTTTGTTTTCAGCCTTTCTGTTGTTCTGTTAGATTGGTCCGGGTCAGTTGCAGTGGTCGTTGGGGTTGTTATGGTAGGGGTTGTTAAGCCGGGGGGTCATGGCTTCAGATTTCAGCTCCTTCCAGGACGCAGCTGTCCGCTATCTGATTCCAAGTGGGATATCCTGGATCTGCTCCGGCGGATCTTCCATTGTTCCCAGGAGTCTGGCTGGGAGAAACGGGAACTTCCTAGGAATCCTTCTGGGTCCTCCACGAGGAGTCCAATGGTGTGGTCAGCGAGTTGATGGCATCGGTGTTGCTACTGCTCATCGTTCTAGTCGCGTATCGTCCCTGAAGTTCCTGAAATCGTAGGTTGATTGCTGTAGTGTTTATTAGGTTATATATGTTTTGGGATGGGTAACAGTAAGGGAGGTTGTGAATGTTGCGGAGGATTCTTCTCTCGGTTGTAAGGATACGGTGGGATAGTCTCGGAGAAAGCGTACAGTATATCATCGCTTTGTAGTCTAGGACTGGTTTTATGAAACATTTATAAGTATGTAGGAGAGTTTTACTGTCGCAGATTCTTTCGTCGCCATTATCCTTGTTCTAAGAGACATGGCACACAGAAATTCCCAAGCAATAACGTTTTTGAGGTGAAAATCTCATGTCTTCAAAGACACTGTCAAAAATACGTTGGCAGTTCCGTGTGGAAGTGTCACGTTATCAGACGAAAAAAGTAAAGGAGGCGCAAACTATGAGCTTGGAAGCTGAGAGTTTATACTGAGCCTAATCATATGGCATGACATCTTATTTACTGTGAATGCTACCAGTAGAAGTTTGTAATCATGATATGCAGCTTGATGTGGCAATACAGCAAATCGAAAAACTTGTTACATTTTTGGGAAGTTCCGAGAAACTGGATTCTGCGTGCTATGATCATAGCAAAGATTTTTTTTTCGAAATGGACGTAGATCAAAAATTCAAGAAACGAACAGTCAGATGTAAATAAATTACTCAAACACTGTTTTGAACGGCGGAAAATTCGAATGAAAAAGATAAGAGATAGTGGAGTACATTGAAGATGATAAGGTGAAAGATGTATTTATTGAAAATCTGCTATAATTTCTTCTGATTTGACATGCATATGGAAAACAACTTACTTTTTTCCAGTGTGTATTAATCCGATTAATTTCATCACATTGAATACCGGAAATTCAAGCAGAAACTAAAGAGAGATGTCATTCGCGAATAGCTGAATATACGGAAAAGTAGGTTTTTGTGTCCTTGAATGTCAACAAAGTGACATTCCTGTAAAAAATTATTATTTATACTTGATAACGTAAACACATACTAGCATATGCATGATTCATATCAATTGTCTTCCAAATCTGATTCCAGGTACTGGTTGCGAATACTACAAATTGGTGACCTAATATTGTTTGACCTCTTTATTTATATCATAGACTGCGTTTGTAACTGTTTTTTAGGAAATTACTTGATCCATTAAGGAAGTTTTTCAATTCAAGTTATATTAACACGGTGAAAATTGAAACATTTTGCATTACTCTCTCCCCTCTCTGCTTTCGGTTTCCGGTTATGTGTACCGTATCCTTTTTTCGCTTGATATGATGTTTCTGAATACTCCACACTAACACTAACCGGATTGAATGCGTCGTTGTTCAGTAAGTACGCATCTTTTTAAACCAGTACCTCCCTGTGAATGATTTAAACTTCAGAACACTTGATGTAATGCTGGTGGGTCCAAACATGCCCAACCATTCTCGATTTGCTGCTGGTTTCTATTTGCTAAATGTTTTTCTTGTGCTCGCCAACGCCACTTTCAACATGATACTCTGTAAATACATCTCTTGGAATCGCAGTTGGTATCCAATTCTTGTCCTCTACGACAGTTCTTTGGACGTAAGGAAGGAATAGCACTGTTTGTGGCGACTTTCCTTCTTTTCTTTCTTCTTCTTCGACTTTCAGTTAAGCTCCGTTCTGCCCGCATTTTGAAATGATAGTTCTGTTGTAGATTTTTTTTCTAAGGCCCAGATACTTGTTGATTAGATGTGGTTGGATTCGTCATTCAATTACTGCCCCATGTGAGTAGGTTTTCTGTATACTTGTCGTTGGTTTCTTGCACCATCACGGCTAGAAAAAAGATTCCTTCTACACTATGAATGTTCTAGAATGTCTGACGCTATTGTGTGTTTCCATACTGTGAAACTATCAACAACGGATCTCAACTAACCCCGTGGTTTATGATTTATGCGCCAGAGCCATGGAAAATTGGACGTTTTGGATGCGCTTCACCCAGAGAAGCCGTGGCGGAAATTTGAACGAGATATCCTCGAATAACTAGAAAAACTGGCTTTAATTCTTCGCGAAAGGCTATTTTTGTGTACGAGATATTTGGCGTTTTTCTCCCTTTATAACTAATGAATTTTTGTCTGTAATTTCTTTCTTAATTATTACGATTTCCCCAAACAGGTATTTATTACCCAAAGATCTACCAATTTATTTCTTGCTTCTAATTCCATTAAATGATCTCCATAAGCTGGACCACATTTCCATTTATAGTTCAATTTTCATTCATTATCTACATTTACGACCGTTGTTATTTTCGCCATAAAAATAACAATAACCCCAATGTAACAAATCATACATCTAACTTCAATTTATTTTCACTTAGGTATATTACATATTATTTTCGATGGAAATGTAAATAATATAGAAGTTGGATTTACTGATATTTCTCTTGCTCATAAAACTGTCACGTCTCTTCACGTTCGAATTTTGTAACCAACAAATTATCTGAGCTCGCGTATCTACTATATTTGTCAAATATAGAGAGCACAAATCATAACGAATTCTGCTACCAGTGGCGTACCTGAACAAATTATCGTAGCTTCGGAAAAGTTAGGAAATTCATAAATTTAAATCTTGTGACTGAAAGCGTATCAAATGTGGCAGTATGAAAACGATACATGCTCTTCTTGAAACGCGGTATTACACAACAGTTTTACTGAAAAATGCATGGGCGCATCATGAGGATGGAAGAAGTCCATATGAATGATAATAAGTGGGGTTATTCAAAACAGTGTTTATTAGAGAAAGTTGATGAAGAAGTGAAATTCATCCTACCACTAAAATTTCTGTAACTTTCCAGAAGATTTTAAATAACCTGGAAGATCAGAACAGCACTATTTACCATTACAGTCTCGATCTGATATTTGACAACACTTTTTTCCACATATAAACTTGAGAATGTTAGGTTATTTTTATGTACTCCTCTTTTTTTGGCGTGCTTTATTTTGCAGCAGCCTATGTCCATGATATATCAAATTTGATTCCTTCATTTGACCCTTTTACCATCGCCTCAGACGTGATTCGACTCGAGCGTGACAGACATCATCTGAAACAGTACAGTTCTTAAATTTCTGAATAGATAGTGATTTGAGTTGACCATGAAATTACAATGGTTTTTCCAGCTAAGATGAAGGGCCCCCAAAAACTTTTGACTCGACATTCTCCAGTAAAGTTGATTCAATTTTTATTTCAGGTTTACTGCATATGTTCTGGCGGTTATCAGACCGTATCATATGCGTTTTGGAACTGTTTAGATACAAATTAGACACACTACTCAAATTTTTGTTACATAACTCAAGTAATTTCTCATCAGTTCTTTCACTGATAATTATCGATTTATTTTCAGCATACTTTATGAAAGTAGCACTCTCTGCAATTCCATCTATAGGTTTCCACATTGTATAAGATCGCTAACTTATTTATTTACGGGAATCTCTTCCCGTTTTTCGAAGGAAATTACGAATGGGATTTAGAAGACCATTTGCAAAATGTCTCGACCATCTGCGTCGAGACACTTCCTGTAAAAATAAACCAGAAAGTGTGTCGAGCAGATAAATTGAACGTCATCACCTCCATCATTTGTAAAATTACTAACTTGTATGAATAAAGTTGGATTACATTCTTTTGAAGTACTTTAAAACGATGAGAATTTCGTTAAGCTGATAACTAGTATAAATTGCTGATCTGTGACCTATCTGTAGTATATTTTTTCCATTGTGTGGACTTACAAACGGGTCTCTAAAAACTTAACCATACAATTTTTTCCCTGCAGATTTCAGTCTTATATGATAGTAAATATGTTTATTTTTTCCTTTCAGATTTTTGATAATCACTATCATTTTGTGCACAGAGGCGTTGCCAAACGATCAATCAGACCTAATTTGGAGAAAAAAATTAGGCTTGCAGTTGACACGCGGGTGCGCTGGTCAGAGCAGCAAAAAGTTAAAAGGAGAGTTAAAAGAGACTTACAGGTACAAGATAGTGATCCGAAATGGCCATCTATGTGGTACTTGGTGAGTAGAAGTAAATTTTTCAGGAGAATGTAATCAAAGTTATAAATGAATAATAAATAAGTCGCAAATCTCAAGTTATGGATATATTGAATAACGTCTTTAATACTATAAAGAGTGTTTCCTCAGAGCAATAAATAGATTAGAATTTTCGGCAACCAATTTATGTAAGAGACACCCTACATTTCGTTTTATGAGAGAGATTGGCAGATCAAGATCTTCAGATGATGTGGTGCTGCAAGTTTTTCCTGCAGCTGAAAAAGCAAATGCGCCACTGGAATCAATGAAGTCGCCCCGGAGCGCCAATTAATTTTTAGTCCCAGATCTGATCCCTGAGGTGCACGTATTTCATTGAAAGTAGGGACTGATATGAAGTATTATTTTTTGTTTTCGTGGTCGGAAGTCATGTATATGAAATCGTATAGTGTCCCATATTTGCAGGGGCGCATAATTCGGTCGATATACCTATGTTAGCTTAACATCAACAAAAAATAAAGTCTGTAAATCCAAACAAAAGTATTTTAAAAAATTGGTTCCCGTGGCCCGAAGCTATAATACTTGCGCTATAAGTGAAAACCTCTTTTATCACAAGGTTAGGATGAATTTATAAAAAAAAAAGTTTATTTTGAATCTTCACTCAATCTTATAAGTATTTGAATTAAAAAGGCCTGCGAATTTGATGATGTGATAATTTATATTTATATATGTCCACAGAACCGAGGAGGAGGGTTAGACATGAATGTGATACCAGCTTGGAAAGAAGGAATTACTGGAAAAGGAGCTGTGGTAACAATATTAGATGACGGTTTAGAAAAAGATCACCCGGATCTTTTGCATAATTATGTAAGTTTTCGCTAAAAGTAGTTAAAAAAAAAGTTTTGTAAACTGTTCAGAGTAAAAATCTAATAATAAAGTGTTACTTGAAAAATCATGGGTTGTGGAAGTGTCTTCCCAACTTGTTAAAACTCACCTCTAATTTATGCAATACTAATGGTTTTTTTTTGGTTTTTTCATATCAATTCAACTCATTTTGGTCGATTGAAACTTCGATTATTTTTAATTTCATACAATTTACTGATTTTGAATTCAAGGTGATCAGTAACAATTGAATATCGTACTCATTTACTTACAATTTAATTGCCAACATTTTGGCGAAGTTTCTCGCCGTCTTCAAGGTTACACTTCAAGTAAATAAATATGAAAATGTAATTTGTTGTATATGCCCAGAAAAACTTTTGACTATATCGACTATCAACTCAGATAACGCGTATATCTGAGTATGTTGTATATCAAAATGGTCTACTATTGTATACACTCCAATAAATCGATCGTGTCAGTTTAAAGTTAAAGCCGACAAAGTTTTCATTCGATGAATGATAGGATCTTAAAGATATCTGTGCACTATGTGGAGAGATATTTTCCACAAAAAATCTTTCATTTCACCTGAACAACATACTGAGATATACTGTGTGGGTGGTGGTCAAAGGTTTTTCTGGAAATATACAACAAATTATATTCTTATATTTATTAATTTTTATTGTAGCCTTGAAGATGGCGCCAAACTTCACCAAACCGTTGGCAATTGAATAATGAGTAAAACAGTATGTGTTTAATGATTTTGTTACAATTTTCAGGATCCTATGGCATCATATGACGTGAACGGTCAGGATTCAGACCCGAGTCCACGCTATGACATCATAGATTCGAACAGACACGGCACGAGATGTGCAGGTGAAGTAGCAGCTACCAGCAACAACTCAGTTTGTGCCCTCGGCATTGCACACGGAGCACAAGTAGGTGGTGTTAGAATGCTTGACGGTGATGTAACAGATGCTGTAGAAGCTAGATCGCTTAGCTTGAATCCTCATCACATAGATATATACAGTGCTTCCTGGGGACCGGATGACGATGGCAAAACAGTTGATGGGCCTGGTGATCTGGCCAAGAGGGCATTCGTAGAGGGAGTGAAAAAGGTGAGAATCCAAGCAAAGAGTGGAGCTTGAGATACATTCAGTTTATTTTTATCTAACAAATTCAGTTCTTGAGTCTAGTCTGAATATGAGTATGCAGTAACAAACTGGGTATTTTGACTGACAATTTGTAATGCTTTATCTTCTTCAACTTTTTTTGTTATAATGATATAGTATCATTTCCATGAGAATGAACATAGCAGTAATGAAATAAAAATATGTTGGTATATTATATTCCCTTAGAATTATTGTGATATATTGAAAACTTAATTGTAAACACTATATACCTACATATTTTCTCATGACCAAATTTTTCAATTAGGTTTTTGTTATGAGATGAAAGGAAGAAAGGAACAAATGTCAAAATTTTTGATTCATTCGGCCTCACATCAATGTTCAAAATACTTTTCCATGTACTCTTGTATATTGATGAAATATCTAAAATTGAATATTTCTGTTGAATTTCTTTAGGAGATATTGGCATTAATTCACATGTAGCAGTCTTTTTTTCCTATATAAAATGTTTATTTTCTCTAAAAGTGTATCTTTACTAACTACCTTCTTGTTACAAATGGAAATATTTATCAGATCATAATTTTCCTTTATTCTTTGGCAGTCGGGCGTTTTTAACGTTTTTTAGGAAAATTAATTTTGTTCTATTTGATGGACGCACATAAGACAGGTCCAGTGTAATACATGCACATCAAGCTAACAAACGGTTTTCTGCTTATTACAATTATTATCATTCCACAGGGCCGTAACGGAAAAGGCTCAATATTTGTATGGGCTTCCGGAAATGGAGGAAGAGAACATGACAATTGCAACTGTGATGGTTACACAAACTCCATATACAGCCTGTCCATATCAAGTGCAACGGAGCATGGTCACGTCCCTTGGTACAGCGAAGCTTGCAGTTCCACATTGGCCTCTACATACAGTAGTGGGGCTGCAGGTGAACGTCAAGTGGTCACGACCGACTTGAGACATTCCTGTACCAGTAGCCATACAGGTACCAGCGCGTCAGCTCCTCTTGCTGCCGGAATTTGTGCACTCGCTCTAGAAGCCAACCCGAATTTAACGTGGAGGGATATGCAACATATCGTAGTACGTACTGCCAGGCCGCACAACTTGGTCGCACCCGATTGGCAGACCAACGGGGTCGGAAGGAATGTTTCTCACAGTTTTGGGTATGGTCTGATGGATGCCTATGCCATGGTGCAACTAGCGAAGAACTGGATTACGGTTCCTGAACAGAAAAAGTGTGAAATTACCGCCTCCTCTGCTGTAAGGTAATATCTATTGTCAGGGCTGATTCTATATGCTTACCATATTCAGTGCTCTTGCTGTTTAGTCATGTATCTATAGCGAGACTTATTATTACCACAATACGCCAGAGCACTCTTCCATATACCTTTGATTGCGGATCACTTGACTGGTCTGTTTGTTTCCTGATGTTCAGGAACAAGATCCTTTTATAGGTTTTATTTGCATGACTTCTGATGAGAGTCAGAAATGAAAAATTATCATTTAATAAATGGCGAAAATTAGTTATAGAATTGTGTAAAAGTTAACTAAAGTCTATCCAAATACAAGATAGAGTAAAACAAAACAAAACCGAAGCGTGATGTTCATGTGATCGCCCAGTGTCAGATGGAAAGGGCAGCGTTTATTGGTGAATTCACCTTCTTGGTACGAGTTCGGTACCAGCACAGGGTTGTAATCAGTCGTTTGCGTGTTTGTGTGGCGTGCGTTATAGTATATTGTTTAAAATTGTTTTCCAAGATTTATTACACATATTATCTGCATTTTTCCCGTTAAACTGCAAAACTTGTGCATTTCACTCGTTATTATAAAAAAGTTTTCCTAAGTATGATATAGCATTTGCGATCAACAAGATGTTGGTTCTGAATACGACCCTGGTCCATTTTTGGGATTTTCAATATCACGTGCGTAGGGCATGCCACTGTTCACATCCACTCTATCTTGGATTTGAATTTGCTTTAGTGCTTACATATACTCAAGTACATCTTCATTAGAATTATTATAGTTTTACCAGAATTAGGATCCGGCTATTCATGGTGTCAAGAAGGATATTTTTAATTTTGCTCTTTTTGGAAATAGGCTCAACATATTGTTTTACATGACTACACAGGAAATTCTACTAATGTTCTTGCCAATTCAGCTGAACCTGTGCTATGTAACTGCAATTGAAAAAGTAATAATACAAACTAACCAAAATATTGGTGTCAGGTGTGTACTTTGATTTTATTTATATTTCAGGCCTATTCCTGCTAAAAGTGTGTCAGTGATACATTTAGAAGTCAAAGAATGCGAGGGTGTTGAAGTCCTAGAGCATATCCAAGCAAAATTGACCATATTTTCGCAAAGGCGCGGGGATTTAAATATTCAGTTGACTTCTCCCATGGGAACAAAAGTAACTTTACTGGCTCATAGAGCCCATGATAACTCCAGGGCGGGTTTTACCATGTGGCCCTTTATGTCGGTGCATTCTTGGGGAGAATCTCCTTTTGGAACATGGCTGCTTGAAATTCACAATGATGGCCGCCTCTTAGGTGAGTTAGTATGATTGATTTGAGTCTCACGTAATCTTACTAACTCTACTAACACACCTTGTTGGTTTTCAGGAAGGGCTACTCTTCAAAATTGGTCTTTAATTTTTTACGGAACCAGACAATTTTCCCATAGTTCACCTAATGAGATAATTAAGTTTGGTAAAAATAGAAATAACGCAGTGAGAAAGAAAACGAAAAAAATTAAAAATAAACATTTCAAAAAGTCGAATTCAACCACAAAAATACCCAGCTATCTAAATAATTCCGACAGTAAATATTTGTCCAAGAATGTAACTTTTAATAACACATATCCCAATGTTCTGGGCAACAAAAAAACAACATCATCTACTACAGACATCTCTCCATATTTTTATGCTGTATCTAACTATAACAACAAAGCTAAATTAAACGAAAAAAGTTTAAAGCAATATTTAAAATTTGTGAAAAATATTACAATAACCTATCCAGTGATGATTCCATCCAGAAATATAATGAAAAATATCAGTGCACCAAGAAAATCTCAGAAAATGAAAGAAAAAAGCCGCGATATCAATTCAAATCGTAATGTTAAGTTGATAATTCCGAAAAGTACTGCAGCTCCGATTACTCTGAAGCCCTCAACCAACACCCCAAAAGAAAAATTCGGTAATTCAATGCATGATTCATCTTGATCGTTTTCATTTACTACATTTGAATTTTTTTTACTGTTTTCGTAGTTTTAGCAATTAGTCTTTACTAATTAATTATATACCTTTCAGTTTTTCGCAATATAATAGTTAATTCCCGTTGACGAAAAATGTTAAATATATCCCACTGTAGAGTATAACTGCTTGAGACTTGTAGAAATCCAAATTTGTCATATTTTTTTCTGCTCTATTTCTTTCTGAGTTGGCTCTCCTCTACAGTCCAATTCATTTCCCAAACAATGAAGAATTTAGTTAACAATTATGTACAATTGCATTAAAGATTATAAAAACTTCCAAAATTCCTAATCAATGAGCATGAATTCACCTCTGAAATCCTATGAATATTTTATCTAATATACAGATATATTTTTTCATTGTTCGTCATACGGATCTCAAAACGTTGTGTTCTGAAATTTTGTTTTTGAATTTTCTACTAGGTGAAGTAAAATTCTGGCAGTTAACGTTATATGGCACTTCGACACTACCGTCCGCAGAAAAACAGAAATTTAAAGAAAAAAACACAATACCTGAGGTTTTCAGTGAAGACATTATGCACAACTCTATTTATGATTCTTTGTCCAATTGGGAAGGTGGGGCAGAAGTAAGTATACCACATCATCCAACAGGCAATTTAAGTATCATCTGCAAAGAGATTCTTTAAATTACATTTATGGTCTATAACAATTTCAGAAGAAATAAAACTTCCCCTTGCATGAGGATGGGGTGTCATTTAGAAGTACTCTTATGTCCAATGGTGACACCTCACATGGCAGGGGTATTTTAACTCCTGCTACATGGGGATTTTGAGGTATTGAAATAAAATCACCTTCAACCAATTGAATATAATCTATCAATTAATGAATATAATTTTCAAACCATAGTGGAATCTGGTAAATAGTTATTTTTAGTTTCATTATGAAATGTATTCTCTATAGCATTGATATTAATAATTATATTGTGTAGAAATCCTGTGAATGATATCTGATTCAATTCCATTACAAATGTTTGGAATACAAACGGAATAGAAAGAATATTTTCCGTATAATTCAGAGTACATATAAAAGTTTCATCGAAACCACAATAAAATTGTTTGTGGGTTGTCCCTTTGAATATAAATTTTGTTATTTTCTCAAAGACAATAAGTCTACTATTCTGACAAAAATTATGATCAATTGGAATGACAAATAAAACTCATTTGTTTCAGAATCGCAAGGATATTTTGGAGGTAGAAGAACACGAGAAAAGTACATCAGGTTGTGCGAAAACCAATGGGAATTTATGTTTAGGTTTGTCAAGTTTTCTTTTGATACTGTATTTGTCCTCACTCAACTTTCACGACATTTCAACTGCTTTACTAACTCCCATTCATTCACTCATGTCTATGTGTCGCACTCACTTATTACACATTCGGAGACTCTTTCGAAAAGAATGTAGGACAATCGAAACCTTTTCCAAAATAAACACTTTCAAAAAAGTAATATTAGACCAACAAAATTCTGACAACAATTTTCACAGATACACCAGTGATATACTATATGAAGTAAGTCAAGAAATGTTCTGTTTAGTAATGCAATTAAAAAAATTCGTAAGTGCTTCGAGTAAGGGCATTTACGTTATACACAAATGGCTATACAGACTTCAAGAGAGACATGTCTTGAAATAGGTAGATGTCAATATAATTTTAGTTAAAAAATTATCGTTTACAGTAATTGAATTGTGAAGCTATTATTAAACACTTCTTCTGTAACCACCAAAAATTCAATACTCTTTTCGACGAGCGTTTCACCAACCAAGTTTTGTGTCTTGAGGAGATGTAGTGAACTAATCTTGTGTCAGCGATTAGAGCGGTTCTTTCTTTCAAATTCAAAGGGTATTTCATCATTAGATATTTTCGATTGTGTATCATTGAGTAATTGGTTTTTTGAATTTTTTCACAAAACAGCAAGACAACATATTTTTGAGGTTCACTTTTAAGAAACGTCGTTCTGACAAATCGATTAATGCATTCAGATCAGAATTCATGTAGTTTATTGTTTCTCAAGTATTTTTATAACTGAAAGAAAAAAATAACTGTATTGGCTGCATAAAAATCATGTTTGTACCATTGCAAGGAATTAGTGAAATGGGGGATGGTTCAGTCTACTGTGCAATATGGGCATTTATATCTGAAAAAAGGACGATAATAACAATGTGTCATGTTCATCCAACTACAACATGAAAAACTAGAATCTCCAAATACTAATCCTTCCATGTTTGTATATTCTTGAGCTGATTATGTACATTTAAAGAAACCTAAATAAACTAATGAGAAAAGAGGACACTCGTATATATAATATTATGGAATAAAGAAAGATTTCGACAACCGTATACAAAGTCTGTGAAAATTTACCAAAGCATATATTTACCAAAGCAAATATTATACAGTAAGAGATATTGAATCTGAATGATATTCCATTCGAAAATAAATTGAAAAATTTCCTTGAAAAAGTATTTTATAATGTTGAAGAATTTCATATTTCCTGATACCTTACTATTATTGTGAAACTGACTATTGTATGTAAACTTTTTTTTTTACAAGCAACCATGTACTATCTCAACAATTTATTTATAGATCACTTTTATATATAATAGATATAGATACTTCAGATTCGTCCCTTTATCAGTTTCAACAATTGTGTCATATACTTGTGATACATTGTTTGGAACCGTTGGTGTAGTAATGAATATTACTGGAGTTTTTCCCAACACCAGAGGAAGACTCCTCTTGAAGATGATCACTTGGTGATCGAAACACGTGTCGAGGTGTTAAAAATAACGATTTGGTGTTGGGAAAAAACTCCAGTAATATTCAATTGTGTCATATATTGAGAGAAAAACATAATTCCAGATTCTTTATATCTTGAAGACGCCAACTTAGTTTGTGAAACGTTTTTTGAAAAAAGTATTGCATACTATAAATGTGTATATTTCAACAAAGTGTTTCGTACAACATATATTCAATTTGGGCAAATAGGGATATCAGTATTCTGCTTTCAATGAAGCAAGCTACATTTTTTTTAATATGTATGTATGTGAATATTTTACATTCATCTGAGCTCTTACACATCTAGTTTAACAGATAATTATAGTTTTTCATTGAAATCTATTCTTTTGCATTTACCTTGAACAAATAGGTATGTTAAAATTGTAACCTATTTGTCATCTATATTCACTAATTTTATATAAGTGGATACGAATAGGGTAAGGAAAAAAATAGCAAGAATATATTTCTGACACCAACAGAAAAGACACTGTGATGAACTTAGAAGCATTGGATTGAAAGATTTTTATTTGAAATATTATCATGGTTTATCTTCCTTCAAAATTTCTACTCTGGCAAACGCCTGTCGGAAAAACGACTACTTTCCTGACTGAAACCACGATGGATATTGAATTGTATTGAACAGATGGGATTTTACCAGGAGACGCAAGCCAGTTTTATAATATCTGCTTTGAGGACAACCAAAACACTACGTCCAATACCTTCGGTAAAGTCTACTGCAATTGTAAATTGATGGTGGAAATGGCCTTGTTCCTCTCACTTGAATTAAATGTCTTGATACATGCACAGTTTTATGCAGGTAGCCAGAATTTATTAATGTTGGTTCCCTTTTCCTTTGGGGTGAAATTGTTTCTGTGATTCTGAAATTCTATCGCCTTTCTATACAAGTGCTACAAAAAAGGTAGTCTTTTGGCGAGAGGTCTGGGGAGTATGGTGGGTGAGGCTCAATCCATTTAATTTTTGGACGGTGATTTGTGAAACGTGCGGTCGTGCGTTGTTGTAGAGCAGCATCTGACCTCTTCTGTTGACCAGCTGACCTCTTCTGTTGACCAGTGTCGGCTGCTGCTGACACATTTGATACATTTTGTTGATTTCCTCTTGATAGAACTCTGCTGTGATGGTTTGGCCCGGTTGTAGAAAGTTACAGTAAATCACACCAGCCCGCTGGTCACTACCCATGGTGTTTTTTGGTGGGTTTTCGGCCTTCGGGAAGGGACTGGACAGCTCATCCACTTTTCATCACAGGTGACGATCTGTTCCAAAAAAGGATTGTTTTGGGTGTGCAAAAACAAATAAGAACAGACTTCGAAATGTGACAATTTCTGTCGATCTTTCATATCGTGGAGCACCCACTTTTCGAGCTTTTTTACTTCCCTAATTCGGATCATTTCACTTCAAAAATAAATTAGGCATTATCAATTGCCTGATTTATTTTAGGAACTGGTCCGGAAATCACTTAATGACATCATATAATACCTGAAAAGTGGCAGAAAATTGAAATTAGGAAAAACTGAACAGCTTCAATGCATAGAGTACAAAATTCTCTGTCAATCAGTAAACACCAAGACACAAAAGTATGAATATTTATTGAGATATGGAGCTACAAAAACACATGACATTAAAATGGATAAAACTTTTGAAACAGTCTAATAGCTAGTACTTTCAAAGAATGGGACTATACAATAGTTACTACTTCATTTCCATTACTGTACCTGACGATAGTTACTTGAAATGATTTTGTTAATGATGCAAAATATTTATTTTTATCAATATTGTCTTTGTTTTTATGGATAGTATTATGACTCATCGGAAGTATGAAAATACTTCACTGCCATCTACTTAAGTCATTTTTATAAAGTTCACGAGTTGGTAGCTAACAAGGGAGGTGATTTCAAAAAAATAATCAGTTTTGGTCATGCTAAATGCTATACGGGTTCGTTGTCTCCATTATGTTTATATAGCAATAAAAAAGGCTAATAGAAAGAATCAAATAATTGAAATGTGCCTTTGGTTAATAGTAGTTGATAGTTATTTTTTGCAGTGCAGTTTAAAATACAATATTGTTGTTGAAGTGTATCCCAAGCAGTTTATCGATTTATTTTTACTGATTTGAGTAATGTTTTACTTTAAATTTGACATCGATTTTTTTACTGATAAAACATTTCAAATTAAAATGTGCCAAATTAATAAAAATCAAAGTCGAAATGATAATGACAATTTCATCAAAAAATAAAAGAATAATTATGGTAGAGCAGCAATTTTTAGACTTACGTTATAAGTGCAATTACCCGATGTACCAATAATCTTAGAATCAAAAAATGCCACCATTTGTACTTGTATCGGATGTATTGATTTTATTGTAAGGTAATGTTTCCTGTGATTGTTTTTGTACATAGTTTGAGAGACTTGTTTATTTTATGTTGTTTACTTATCGAAAAGTAGTTCCTGAAAATATGTTAACCATTACTTTTAAGCAATCTTTGAACTGGGAGGTCACAAATTATAATTAGAGGAGTAAATGTGCCCTAATTCAATTTTGATGTACATTTTATATGAAAAACTTCAGTCATTGGGCCTACACCTGATTTAGTTTTTGCATACCCTGAAGGTTATAATCTTTCATTAGAAGAATTGATTCAGTTTCGTCATAAAATTATTATTTAAACATTTTAGTTGGATTTATTCGTTTATTAACTTCCTATTAATGAATTTCATTACAATTTCATTACTTTCAGGAAACAGTGTAAAAAGATTAAGACTATAAATTTTGCCATAGTGACTATTTTGTCAATCCAGATGTTTTATCGTAACTCACTTCCCTGCTCTGACAGTGATTGCACAATAAAATTTTGGAGAAGTCCTGACAAGAAAATACTCTATGAATTGTTTCATCACATATGATTCAACATCTTCAATTAACATCTGCAAAAAATATGGTTTTGCTATTTTAGGGATTATATTACTTTACCAATTGATTTTTGTACACTAAATTCGTTTAGACATCTGAAAGTACAGTACTTTCCCTTCGCAACACATTTTGATTTTCGGATTTATTGGACCATTATTGAATTCGATTAGCCTTTGAAACCCTAAATTTCATTCTAAACTTCAAACTGAGTAAACCAGACCCAAAAAGCCCATTACGCCAAATCTCGCCATCCCACAATATACAATATCCTCTAACCCCACGTTTGAACTCAATGCAATCTCTCCATATTTTTCTTGACACCCATTTCAACAAACTGGTTCCCTGTACGAATTTATACATACAAGTCTCTTGTTGGATATTCCTCATATTCTTCTTGACATAATATTTTGGAAATGGCAATGTAATATAACCTGTCGAAATTACCTGTTTTTACACTTTTGTCTTGGAATATCTGAAAATCAACATGATGAAGCAATTTCAAAAGTATAGTCTGATATCTGGTTACACTTTGTTTTATCTTTTCTTATGTCTTTGGTTTTTCTAAGTACTGCGGAAACCAAAGACTTGTTTAACTGTCCTCAGTATATGTCAGTTGTAAAACCTTCTGATTGGTATGCTAAGAATTTTCATATGGAATATATATTCTGAATATATTAGTAACGGATTAACTGGAAGAATGTGATTGTAGAAATGTATGTGAGTGTCTGTCTTAAATGTTAAGGTGTTATCGGAAATGTGTGGCGCCTAAGTTAGAAATCGTCTTCAAAGTTCAAACTGAAACATCACTTTTTATTCAAACACGTAGTAATATTCAATTACCCTGAGTTTGACTTAGAATTACGATGATTATTATGTATATATTTGAGTATATTTCAACAGTGTTATTTTTTCTCTCAGAAAACTCTACGCAAGAAACAAGCAACTACACTGAAAATACTTTTCTTATTCCTCGGGATTATTTTCATCGACATCAAACGTTGTACAAAGTGTTTATATTCCTGTAAATAGTAATCACTTGTATGGGCGAAAAGTTGAGGCATATTTGCTCAACAACAACTCGGTCATCAAATCTTGAAAAGTTTCAGTACAATGGTCATGAAAACTTCCAATTTATTCTTCAGATCAGTATCTTTGTTTTCTTTTTGATTTCTCACTTAAAAACATACCATCTCGATAAACACTGCACAAAATTTCATAACTTTTGAAAAAAAAATGACCTCTACCATTATATTTATAATAGAATGTCTTCCTTCAAATATTTGGTGTACACGAATCAATGATTCTAGGTCAAACTCAGGGTATGTTCAGATTATAATGAAAAATATGTTAAATGTAAATGAGTTGTTTGTAATCTATACAAAATAAACTGTGGCAAGATTAGACTTTTCCAATTTTTTCCACCCCTCATTAATTTAGATTCAGACCAACAAAGTTGAATACATTGAAATATAATAAGGACAACCAAAAAAGTTCAGAGCCACTGGCCTACTAGCAGCTATATCTCGTTTTAGAACAGTTTCTACTTGAGGTATCTTTCAAGGATGTTGATCAACATTTCGGTTTCACTTTTTGGGAGAATTCATCAAAATGTTGGTAAGTGTGGTTTATGAAAACCTGCATGTGTTTTATTGTGCTAAAATTGTTGTCAGAGTTATGTTTGATGTTTTTGGAGTTTTATTTTTTGCACTTCCTTGTCTCAAGCACTGAATATGTATATGATTGTTCATTCATTTCATCTTCACAAAGTGTATTTAAGTTTTTTATATATATATATATATTATTTTCATTTTGAAAAATGTTATCAAATTCTACAAATGCATTGAAAGAAATTCAACAACACGTGATTGTTTGGTAGGTATACTTGCTAATGATATCAGACTTATATGCATGTTCTAAACAGTATAATGTGTGTGTGTTCAAAAGTCAGTCTTTGTGTTCAGAATATATTGAATGGTCCGTGGGAGATCGACAGACTGTGCAAACCAGGGTCTGCATCAGAGAGACGAAATATTCAGAAAAAAATGAATGCAAACAAGTGATAGAATATAATCAAAGGTTCTAAACGGTACGAATTCTGTGGGAAATTGAGGGCTGGTACTTATGTCCGGCCATGGTTCATTCTGCCTACTGCACGTGGATAAATTACTGATGTACGTGGAAGGTCATATGAACTACTTTTTTTGCGCACCTAAGAAACCATGCGAAGACTATTGATTAACTAATATAATTGTATTTCAGGGAGTTTAACTGCTCCCAGAAAAAATGAACCCCTGAATCTTCTGTATGACCCAAGTCTATTAAATATATACAGGGTGGTTATTAGATTCAATTCACAAGAAATTTCGAAATAGGTGCAGAACACTTTAACACAGCTTGAAAAAAATATTGCTTATAAGTTGCTCCAAGTGCTACTAATTCTATTTCTGTGAAGATATCAAAACGAAAAGAGATTTCTCTTTTGACATATGGGTTGACGATAGCAGATGACTATGTGTACGTATGCGTGTGTTTCCACAGATTTGATAATCAAATCAGTTGACAGTGTTGATTATCAATTTAAACATATTTTGTTGAGATATTTGGAGTACAAATAATGATCACCTCTATGCTTTTCTATCCCACAACAACTGTATGTATTTACGAAAACAAGGCTGTATGAGAATAACTGAAAGTTCGGTGTTACCACAGTGTTAGTTTCGTAAATTATCTACTCTGTCAATTTCAGTTTCTCAACTTTATCAACATTCTCACATCACACATATCTTCTGTTATAGATGAGGTAAAAGATAAGGGAAATATTGGTAATATGGAAACTTCATCAACGCCAGCTAATGACAATGAAGAAGATGAACAGGTTGATGATTCAGCTAAAAATATAGATGTTTTTCTTTGGCAAATTGCTGATGAATTTAAAAAATATTTCTTTTCTTGATAACATATAGTTGTATAAGAAACTTTAATTGTAAAAATAGGCTACGGATGACATCAAAAGCAATAAGGCAACGGTCAAAGTATTTACTCCAGCTGTACTCAAACCAGATACATACGAGTATAACGATATCAGGATCTGTCTCCAATTTTATTCTATCAATCACAAACGACTTCATTTGTGTGCAATTTAGAACAGGTAGCCAGATCTTATTTATGTAAATTCTCTCTTCCTTTCTCTTCTCTCTATTGAAGTTATCTCTGTTACTTCTATTGCCTTGAACAAGTAATATTACAAACAGATATTTGAATGGACTCCTACCAGCAGCTACGACAAAAGAGAGGGGTGATTAAAAAGTTTGTTGAGTGGAGGCCCGACGCATATGTGAACCTGAAAGTCTCCCTGAAGAAGTTAATCATCTTAAAATAAGTTCAAAGGAAAAAGGTACAGCGAAATAAAATTCAAGTGGGCCGTACGACCCAAGACAGAGAACGTCAAAGTAACTCCAGCTAGGCCCGTTATTGGAAAAGGTTTCACTCTTATGTTAAAAATTTTACAAACCAGATTGGGAGAATTCTAGAGAAGCACAACGTGAACAAGCCAACGAAAATTATCAGAGAGAGTCTAAGATCGGTCAAGGACCCCAGAGAGCAACATCATGAGAATGCCGGATCCCTTGTGACTGCTGGTAGGTCTACATTTCTACCACGAAAAAAATGTGTGAGTAGGTATCTGTTTCTCTGAATACAAGAGAAATTGTAGCTTCGAACAAACCGACAAATCAGCTGTAGCCAAACATGCTCTCAAAAAACAAGGCACTCACGTTATCTTGTTCGAAGAGAAAAAATACTACAAAACTCAGAATTACAATCCAAGAGTATATGAGAAGGCAATAGTAATTCATAAACACAGAGACAATTTCAATAGAAAAGGAGGAATTAACATCAATAAAATCTGGCTACCTATGCCGGATTGCTCCATCGCCTTTGATAGACGAAATGTTGCGTTGACCACGTCCAACAAACCAGGAAAATAGCTTTGACACAGTTACCTCCGGCCATAAATGTTCACACTCTGAGTACTTAGCAATCATAGTGCCTCTACAGTCAAACTCTTTGTTCTTGTCAGGCAAATGATGACATCAATTGCATTTATTGTTATACTAGTGAATGTTCAATAAAGTTGACTCACCTCAAAAGGGTAATATGTATTAATCAATAAATGTTTTTTCCTTATTATATTGAATGGAATCATTTCCAGACCTCAGGGTATACCATTTACCAAACAAAGTAACCTAAACAAAGATAGATGCGTGATCAAAGCACGATCACCACGCACATTTGCATCTATTGGGTAAAATAAACAAGCCTCCTTACGCAGGCCAATCAGATTAAATCGCAATCGGCTGGCGGAATTCATTGTTACAGTGTCGGAGTGGTCAGTTACGTTTTAACGCCTGTGGTGTGTACATATACGGTATTTTAAAGTTGAAAAATTTTAAAATGTCAAGTACTGATGAGGCTGAAGAAACTGCTGCGTCTCCACACTCCACCTAAAACATTTTCCTACGCCCAGTCGCATATTATTAAAAAAAATAAAATTTCGGTTGTTCCTTAGTGCGACTCTGTACAAGCAGCCTTGTCTGGGAGATCACGTGCAGTATGCATGATAATGTTTTGGAGCAATTCGGTGCTTAGATGAACAGAGTATAGTAATTCTCATTTCAGTCTTCCATTGAAGGGTGACCATTACTACTATTTCATAGAGTATAAGAACGCACTCCATTTTTGGGAAAGATTGGTATAAAATTATTTCTACTACTACTGTGAAATTACATATTCCTGAATATGGGAACACTGATGAGGTGAAATGAAGGTTTTTCATAATTTCTCCAATGTAAAGTGAGTTCTAACTTTCATAAATGTTCTACGGTGCAAGTTTTTGGATGCAGTTAGTACAATTTTAAGCCCCGAAAAGTTATTTATGCACGTTCCTGGTACATAACATAATATACAAAATATGAAATGTATTTCTGTGAAGATGAAATCGACAATTGTAATTTTTTTTATATTGAACCTCATTAACATTCAAGCTCTCAAAGATGCAAAGTGGAATTATGATGTTGAAAAGAAACTTATGCTATTAATCAGAGCTTAAAATAACTTTCACAAAAATAATAGGAATGCACAAACTAGTGCTTGTCGGTTTGATAATTCAAGTAAATTCAAATATTGTAATTACTTTCTATTTTCTTCGATTCATTTCAGAATGTCTTCCACATTTCCAACTCTACAGAGAAACCTGCATACAAAGCTGTCCAGAGAAAACTTACAACATCATCCTGGATAGCGGCGACAGTTTCAACAAAAACTTGTTAGCAAACCAAAGTTGTTCTTCGTGTCACTACACGTGTAAAACTTGTCTAGGATCCCTTGATTCGAACTGTGAAGAGTGTTACACAGACGCTAAACTAGTACGTACTTCCAGTACCGAAACGTACTGTTATCCTGTTCATCTGATGTCGGAAGTCTTGTCAGAAAAGTGGTATTACAGAATGTTTACTATGATGTACATTTTAGTTGTTGTTCTCATACTTTCGACGGTTATCTATTTATTTGTGAGGAGAAGGAAGTATCTACAAAGCAACCTCGCTATGTATGGTAATGTAGACATGAAGCAAAGTATGGACTTCTGATGAATGAAATAGTAGTATAAATGGATTTTTTACATCTCAGACATAGAAAATCACGCACAATTGTAATTATGAAAACTTTTTTGGAACTGATACCAGGTTGATATTTTAAAGAAAAAGTTACCAGGTTGTTTCAAACTAGTAGGTGTATGGAATGTACCTATTTTGTATTGCATTTGTTGTTATAGCATAATAACACAATGAAATGTGGAGGGAAGGTGACATTTTTTGTAATATTTAGACGCAAAAATTATCCTACAAAGGTACAGAAACGAGGGAGGAATACATTTAAATTCAGTTTCAATTATACAGGTCGGCTCATGACATTTCAAAACAGATTCTTAAAAATTTTCATTCTGTGTCTATTCTGATACTTTATCAATTAAATTCAAGGATTCAATACTTATTTATATATTCTAATATCACATTCTGCTAGTAGTCAAAGCTGAAAAAAGAAATAAAACGTTAGCTCACATTGAAATCGAAAAAATGAATAAACTTTGACAGCATTTTTTCAAATTAATATAATCTACCCTGAAGATATTCCTGCAGTGCTTGTGCATATACATTGAAAAAATTAATACATAAGCTCAAAAACAGCTCCAAATAGTGCTTTAGCAATACATCACTTAGAAACGCACCTTAGACTACAATTTACCAGGATTTTCATGACTTGATTTTTGAGTATTAAACTATTGGAACATTTTCCAGAATGATTTTTTACAGTTTATTGTATGATTTTCACTATAAAATGGTTTTACAAAAACCGCGACACGTGTTTCGCTATACAATAGCTTCTTCAAGCATAAACTTTATATTATAAATAAAAATACATCTCCAACTTTGTCCAAGGATTTACAATGTCTCCAGAGAATATTGTATGGGAACTACCCATTGTTTGATAATTCACTTTAGTGAAACCACTTCAAACCAGGAAAGAGCCGTCAGTGCCATCTTTTAAACAATAATTGAACCATAATAGTGAAATAAGTTCGAAGAAATCTTTACATTTGGTACATGTACAAACTAGCAGTGGTAGACTCTACATACAAAGGTGGTAGTTTTGTATATGGATAGTCTATATACAGAGGTGGTAGCTTTGTATATAGACTATATACAAAGATAGAGTGATTCTCCTCAAACAACGGTCGTAGCCATAGCGTTGTTTGAATGGTTGGTTGGAAGAGCAGGTTTGCCTATGACATTCCTTTCATAGACCGAAATGATGCCATTTGATGGGAACATATTTTATCAATTCCTAGAAAATGTTGTTCGAAGAGAAGTAATCTTCAAAATACCGTGGTAGATTACTCTTCTAGAGGATCACGGAGTTAGCGACATCTGTGCTTGATGATTTGCATGTCAAACTCAAGGAAAACATTTATTTTTGCATAGTTGCGAACATTAATATACTGGTTGTTCAATGTTTATATGTTTTGAACTGAAAACTATTATGAGTGTTCTCAGTGTATATTATGGAATTCACAGGCGAACCCAGAATGTGAGACATCTAACTATGACCTCAGATTCAGCTCCATAAAATATTTCAAGAAGACAAGTACGATATCCACACATATAAAGGACCTGTTATGAGGAATATAAGTCAAAAAGAGGATGTCTCTATAATCATTGAAATCTGCTTTTCAATCCAACAGCATACATTAAATTATTAGAGTGAAATTCTGATCGAGATAAAACCATTTCAGGCGCATGTATGTAACAAAATCGATGCAAGGTTTTCCACAGTGATGCTGATTTTCCAATGGAAAAGTCGATGGATTTGCAGGTTGGGCAGTCGAATCTTTTTTTTTGTTCGTGGCTCTTCCGCTTCCTGCAAGAACATTATCTGCAAGTGGCATTGCTTTGCTGATGACAGCACATTTGTCATTCCATTTGGATTCCAGGACATCGTCTATGAAGGCACATCTTCACCGGCAGCAGGATGTTGCATATCTTAATGAGGATTTAGAGACGATTTTGAATTAGGGTGAAAGTAAACAGGTTCATTTCAATGCCACAAAAACCCAGGCATCGGTTTTCTTCAAAAAGATACATGTCTCCCAACCGGATATAATGACAGGACAGACAATACCACTTTCTGCTTCGATGAGTTTGTTGGGAGTTGAAATGGACACCAATATGTCTTTTGGCGCAATCATGTCCCTGAAATTACAAAGGCTGCTTCTCAAAAGCTTACAACACTGTTCCGAACCAGAAAACTGTACACACCCCAGCAACTTTTGATGCATTATAAAGCTCATATTAGACCTTCTTTGGAGTATTGTTCTCATGTATAGAGCTCCGCCCCTAAGCATACCCTGAAGCTGCTGGATTCCTTCCAGAAAAGAGTCATCACCTTGATTGGAGACGTGGACAGCACTTGCAACCTTGATTGTCTGGAAAATCGAAGAAAGGTTGGAGATTTGTCTCTCTTCTATAGATATTTTCACGGGAAGTGTTCAAGTAACTTGGCACATTTGATTCCACCAAGAGCGGTACATATCAGAAATACGCGATGTACTGTGGCTGCTCATCGTTTTGAGGTTCAACTTAGTACACCTTGAACTTCACTGTTCAAAAACTCTGTTGAAGAACTGCGTTTATGTGGAATAAACTTCCTGGTAACGTTTTTCCAAATGAATGTAATCTCCAGTGATTCAAATCCAATGTGAATCGCTACTTTCGCACAGGCACAGCTCTTAGAGCGACTTGAGGGTTTTCCTGTAATGCTTGTGTTTTGTCCTTAGAAAAAAAACAATACTTTGTACGTTCCAATATTTAAAATCCAAGTGTCAGTTTTATGGACATCTGATTGAATTAAAGAGAGGTGTGAATTTATGTGTTGTATTTTTATACCATAAGTTATTGAAAAATTCCTAAGGTNGAACATATTTTATCAATTCCTAGAAAATGTTGTTCGAAGAGAAGTAATCTTCAAAATACCGTGGTAGATTACTCTTCTAGAGGATCACGGAGTTAGCGACATCTGTGCTTGATGATTTGCATGTCAAACTCAAGGAAAACATTTATTTTTGCATAGTTGCGAACATTAATATACTGGTTGTTCAATGTTTATATGTTTTGAACTGAAAACTATTATGAGTGTTCTCAGTGTATATTATGGAATTCACATTTGTCTCGTCAAATAATATTTTTTTCATATGAATATCACGCATATTGCTTAAATACAATATGCATTAATTATTAACAATGTGAACAATTCTGTCCGCACTCCAAAAGGTTTCAGATTTCAAATAATTAAAAAAAACAAATATTTTAAAACTAATCGGGGAATTCAGAAACGTTTCTTTAAAATTGCCTGTTTTATATGTTTTTTGACACCACCAGTTACATCGATAAAATAATACTCACTGGTCAAATATTCCTCCGGTACTTCCTCCTCCGCTATGCGATTGACTCTGAGAAAAAGAAGCGGAGTATGGCCCCAAGGCAAAAGATGCTGATTGACTTTGGCTTTGACTGGGACCGTGACCTCCTGCGAAGGATCCTGCGAAACTACCGGATCCTTGACCGTGACCGTGGTTTGATGAACCGTGGGGCCCGTAGTTGTTAATATTTGTTATGTGGGTTCCATAGCTTCCTTCATGGTGACCATCTCCACCGTGTAAGCCACCCAGCAGGGCTCCAAGAAGAGGTCTCTTCTTGAAAAGCGTAGGAGACCTTATACTTCTAGTCAATTCTGAAACAAATTGAACGTGCCTGAGAAAGAATTTCAATTAAAAGATGCAAACGAATAAAACAAATGAATCATTAAAATTATCTACAGTACTTTCGGAATTCTGAGGCATAAAACTCCATTTGATAGGAGGTAATATTTATATTTTTCTTTGTATTTTGTTTCCTATCAATAAAAGCAATTATTATTATTAAGTCAAGCTACGAGCTACGTCACGCTGAGTGCCGCCTTCTTAGGTATCTGTCAAAATTGGATATATACTAAATTGTTTAATTTCGTAGAGGGTATTTCAGAGCGAGTACGTCATAATTCATAATTAAATAGATAGGATTTGGGTGTTGAGTGTAGAAGTATGAATTTTGATGTTTCTTCAATAATCCAAAAAATGTCAATGCAATTATTTTGAATATTATCCACTATTTTAATTATGGTTACTTATTGTATTTTTTTTGTTAGATGGACTTGTCTTTAATTAAATAAATATGTAAATTGCAACGAAAATTATACAGGCTGTAATTGAATAACTGTAAAACATTTAGGAGGTGATTCCTCATCGAAAGAAGATAGGATCTTTCATATAAAGAAACTTCATTGGAGAATTCCTTGTTAAGATACAGCACCTTAAAGGGGGTACATAAAATTTGTATAACAATTTTTTTCACAAGCACTAAAAAAGTT